TACAACATATATATATAAAATAACGTATAAAAATATCAATAAAATATCGTTTTCGATATTTAATTATTTATAAATTTTATTTTTACCTATTTCATTTTGTACGGCATGGATGGTTTCATGCGTATCATCAATTTCTAAAGGATGACCAGTTAATAATAATTCAATTTGTTTTTCGATAGTTAACGGCATGTCAGTATAACAATAATGATTTTAAAATAAACACGAAATAAAAATTATTATTAAATACCAAATTATATGTTAAATATCATATATCATTATTAATTTAATAATAAAGGTTATAAACAAAGTAAAAGTGATAATGATCAAATATGATCGACTGGCATTCTATTCTAGATGTATCTAAGTTATTACTACTATATTCAGTCAGACTATTCTCATATTGAATTCCCTATATAATATTTAGAAGTTTTTTTTATAAAATAATATATATATAAATATAATAAAAAACAAAATACAAAAAAAAAATAATATTTAATAAAATTGTTTTAAAAGAGAAAAATATATTTATAGAAATAAAAAATAAATAATAAATTTAATTTATAAACAAACTAGTTAACAAAAAGTTTTTAAATTATTATGTTATATTATTTTAAAGTTCAATGAATATTGTTTTTAATATAAATATAATCATAATAATAGAAAGTTATTATCTAGGGAATGCAACTGTCACAAAGTTATATTTTGCTAGCATATTCATATCAACTATATATAACAAATCAGATAGTTTTATATAAGTTATACGATCTGAAGTTTAGCAAAGAAACATTTAAGATGTAATGTGATATGAAAAGTGTTTATATAAAAAATAAAAATAAAATATTCGAAAATGGAAGTTTTAAATGTATTAATTATAATAGGTCTCATTCATTGTTCACTATTCTTTTTTGATACAATTTTTAAGGTATAATTTATTGAATGTATTTTCAAATATTTTTAGAATTATGAAAAAATAAATTATTTATTTAAATTAAATAATTAATAATTAATTTAAATAAATTAAATAATTCTTTTGAAAAAAGATATTAATCTTAATAATATTTTCAATTATATATCTTTAAATAATTATGAATTTTATTTTACAGACATGTTCACATTATCCTTACTTATATTTTTTGAAAAATACTGGTTTAGAAGTTCAAATATTACGAATAAAATGGTTTACCACAGCATTTAATCGTAAGATAATTAAATGGGGAATGGATCGTTCTAAATTTTGGACTATTTGGTTTAATGCAGGAGTGATTGTTAGTGTTATTATTTTACCTATTGCTACAATTGCAATTTTAAGAATGACATTCAATATATGGACTAATGGACCATCTATTGATAATACTAATTCTGAACCTTTATTGGAACCTATGGTAATTATAATTTAATGTAACATTTTAACATTTATTTTAATGAGATAATTTTTTAAGATATTTTAACGAGATAAATTTTTGTAAGAAAATTGTATTTTAAATTAATTTTTTTTTCAATATAGTAAAAATATATCAAATATACAAGTTATATTTAATAATATTTTATGTTTACTAATAAATTTAATAAAAGAATAAATTTTATTTGAATTTATTTGAAAATTAAATAATATATATACATCTTTATTTTTTACAGTTACCTGGAATAGACGTACCCTTTAATGAAATTGGATATTATATCATTACATTAGCAGTTTGCAGCATTATGCATGAGTTAGGACATGCATTGGCTGCAGCAAGAGAAGATGTTCAGCTATTTGGTCTAGGAATACTAATTGCATTTACAATACCTATAGCTTATGTACATATAAGCAGTGAACAACTTAGTTCATTACCATTAAAAAATCAACTAAGAGTTACTTGTGCAGGAATTTGGCATAATGTAGTACTTGCTACAGTGGCTGCCACTATTCTTATGCTTTCTACATGGTTGTGGGCACCATTTTATGCAGTGGGAAATGGAATTTATGTAAAAACTATTTTACCTGTAAGTTGATTAATTATACATTTTAAACTGTCAAATTAATATATATGAAATAATATAAATTAATGTATATATTTATAATATTAAAATGCTATAACTTATTTCATAATATCTATTTTTTTCAAATGCTGGTAATCTTTGAAATAATAAATATATTAATAATTTTCATATTTTAAAATTATATTATATTATATTAATTATATTATAAATTTATTGTTTAATGTAATAAAAAAATTGATTAAGATAAAATCAATGATGAAATATAAAATTAAAAATTGTAAATTCTTTTTATAAAAATTTATGTATTAATTTATAGAATTCACCTGTATTAGGTCCTACAGGACTTCTTGAACAGGATGTAATATACGAGATAAATGACTGTTCTATAAAACATGCTGAAGACTGGTATGATTGTATATTGAATACAGTTAATCAACCAGCTCTTGGGTATTGTGTTAAACAATCATTTATTCAGGTAATCTTTGTGTATAATTTTTTTAATATTATTTAATTTTATTATTATAATAAATTTCATTTTTATATTTTAAATTAATAAATAGGAATATGATGAATCAGTCCCATCAAAACAGAAAACTAATGGTGTTATTAATTGTTGTACACCAGATAGTGAAGCAATTGGAAATTTATGTTTTGAATATATAGAAGGGCCACAAGCAGCTCCTTTACATTTACCACCCTATTCCTGTCTTCCAGCTAGAACTATGATCAATCAGTCACAAAATTTTTGTCATGCTAGTTACCAATGCATTTTTCATGATACTCATTGTTTAAGACCTTCACTTGATAATATTACTAAGGTGTGTATATAAAAATAATTTAAAATTAGAAAAGCATTTAAATAATAATTAAATAAAATTGAAAATTAATTTATTAAAAAATTTATTTCTGTTGTAGATTGTTCAAATAAAAAGAAAAGAAGGAAAAGATGTCCTATTTTTTGGATATCCAGCAGATATTTATAGGACAATTGATGTATCTGATTGGATACCCAAATACTCATTTTTAAATCCTAAATTACCAGAAGCTTTAACTCTTCTTTGCAAATATATTACGATATTTTCTGCGGGATTAGCAGTTATTAATATCGTGCCTTGTTTCTTTCTAGATGGACAATATATCATAAATATACTTATACTTTATTTATTAAATTTTACACCTCATAATAAAAATATTAGACAAACTGTTATATTAATGATAACAAGTATAGGTACATTACTTCTTACTATAAATTTATTGTATTTACTTATGAATAAATTATTATAAATAATAAAAGAATGTTATTAATATTTAAAAGTTCTATTTATAATACAAAGTACACTGTAATTACATTCTTATATAGCCTTAATGCCACTTTGTATCACTTAAATCCTAATAAATCTTACAGTCTCATTTAAAAAATTATTTACATCTTTGGAACAACAGATTGGACCACATAGAAAGATTATATTATACAATATATTTTTATATTTTTCAAGATAAGTTATAGTAAATATAATATGTAAAATCTATCCATTCCCAAGTAGGTACAATACAAAAATAAAGCTAATGCTAAGTTTTGATATGACAAAAAAGCAATTAATATTTAAATATCTATTTTCAACATAATATTATGATCACACTTTTAATGATATTTAAGATATAGTGTATAACAAAATTAAATTGTTATAAAATAAATGAAAATTATATATCTATATTGGATATATTATATGTATACTTTGTTTTGATTATCTATTATGAAATTTCTTTATAACTAGTATTTTTTTTATTATAATATAATAATATATTCAAATGTGTAAGTGATGTTATCGCTTTGTTGCTGCATCTCCATCCAATGCTGTAATATAAAAATTCAATAATTATCATAATATTTTCTAGAGATAATTTTTTTTTTAAAATGGATATATTATAAACTATTCAAATATTATATAAATAATTATAAAAATAAGATTTTCTTATTGATTACTTACTTTTTCCATCACAAGCAACAATTTTAACTTTATCTACTATTGCAACTTCTTGGACTTCACGAAATTCAACATCATTAAGCATAAAAGTCCATACATTGTCACAAAATCTATAAGTATTTAATTTACCAGCCTAAAAAATTTAAATTAATAAATAAATTATAATAATTATTATTTACAATTATATCAATACCTTAAATGTAAGTCGTGATTTAACTCTGGTTGCAAGTGCTTGATTTATTGCCTTATCAAATTGTAATAGTACTTTAATTGCTAATTGAGGTGTAATTTGTCCATACTACAACATTATATAAATTGAATATTTTAGATTATATATAATTTATAATTTTTTTAGATTATATTTAATTATAATTAAAAATTCATATTAAAATTAAAATTTATTATCTATTTTAAATTTAAGTGACATTGTGTAAAGATATAATATCAATGAAATACTTTTTCTTTTAAAATGAAATGTACACAATAAATTCTACATAATAATAGAAATTATATATCTATATAATAATAGAAAAATTGATTAAGTGACAATCTTAACCTCAATATATTTTTACACTTACCTGAATCAATTCATCCAGGCTTTCTTGTAATGTATTACCTAATGTTGTGTTTCGATATAATTGATAAGACATTGTCCTTAATGTATAATAGGCACAATATTATAGTAAATTGAGCTTTGATAATGCAACAGTAAACCTCATGCGTAACGAAAATAGGAAACGATATTTGTTGATTAACTGTTGTTAGATAAAGTTGTACATTACTTGAACGATATTTGTATAAATGAATTCGTAATAGTAGAAAATGATATTGCCGATTGCGATAGATTTAAATTCAAGATAAAATTTGTTGTTTTCTTCAATACAAATCTTATACTATTATAATCATATCAAAACTACATTTATGCTAAAAATGTGATTTTATTTATCATTAAGTTAGTATTTTAAAATATTAGAAAAAGATATATAACATATCGTTTGATAGAAGGAATTATTAATAATAATATATTCATTCAATAAACTTACTTAACTATTTCTTTTTATATATAATTTCGAAAATTTTTATATAAAAGAATATTCAGAAATTTATATTTTAACTGTATAGTTTTTAGTACAAGTATAGTAATAATGGCATAGACAATATACAAAATAGATATAATATGCAATGTTTTTTCGTGTCTTAAGAATTTAGATATGGCATAGACTATATATGAGTCTCTAGATATAAATCCCTAAATATAAAATTCCTTTATATTTCTTATATTTTATTATATTTATATCTAATCTATATTGAGAATTATTTGATCCTCTTACCATTTTCATGTCACGTACAATGTTATCGATTCAGTATAGAAAACGATTATAGCGTTAATAGCGATTAGAATTAAAACCTGATTTCATTATTTTATGTTTAGAATTAAAAAACTTATTATATTTTATAAAAATTTTATTATTATATTATACTTATTAATATACTTATTAATTATTTATTATAGTTATATGTTTTAAATTTATTAAAAAATATTTATTATAAAAAATATAATATATTAATCACAAATAAAATTCATCTATGATGCGAAATGTGAATCTATTTGATATTTCATCTATGGTATTGTAAATGTATATATATATATATATATATATATATATATA